TGCCCCGGAGTTATCCCGCTCCTGTCTCTCTTTTCCAGGGGAGCTCTTTGCCCAGGCACCTGTGGAGCAGTTCCCAGGAATTGCTGTGGAGAGCGTGACGGATTCCAGCAGATACTTCGTCATCCGGATCGAGGATGAGAATGGTGTGTCACCACAGACCTTGGGAAGGCTTCAGAGCCCTCCTTGCTCCTGCTTGGGAAGGATTCCTGCTTTCCAGGGCAGGATATTCCCTGTATAGGATGGCAAAGGGAGGAATTATTGTTTAGGAAGGATTCCTTATTTTGGGAAGGATTCCTGCTTTCCAGGGCAGGACATTCCCTGCCTAAGGTGGCAAAAGTAGGAATTGTTTGGAAAGGATTCCTGTTTTTAAGGGCTGATATTCCCTGAACAGGGTGGCAAAGGGAGAAATTATTGTTTGGGAAGGATTCCTCCTTTTGGGAAGAATTCCTGCTTTTCAGTGCAAGATATTCTCTGTACAGGGTGGCAGAGGAAGGAATTATTGTCTGGGAGGGATTCCTCCTTTTGGGAAGGATTCCTGTTTTTAAGGGCTGATATTCCCTGCACAGGGTGGCAAATAGAGGAATTATTTGGGAAGGATTCCTGCTTTCCAGGGCAGGATATCCCTGCACAGGGTGGCAGAGGGAGGAACTCTCCCACTCCCACGCATCAGCAGGGCTCTGACCTTCACCAGGAACACAAACACTTGGATTTTCCTGCTCGGTGTGGGAGTGAGGGCACAGGATCCTCCCCGTGGTGCCAGCTCTGCTTTGTGTTCTCTTCCAAGGGGTTTTACACCAACGAGGTGAAATCCCTGGAGAAGGGAAGGGTTTGCAGTGACCTAATTGTGGCCTTCCCGTGCCTAAAGGGGCTCCAGGGAGATGGAGAGGGACTTGGGGCAAGGGATGGAGGGACAGGACAAGGGAATGGCTTCCCACTGCCAGAGGTCAGGGATAGATGGGAGATTGGGAAGGAATTCCTCCCTGTGAGGATGGGGAGGGGCTGGGATGGAATTCCCAGAGAAGCTGTAGCTGCCTCATCCCTGGGAGGGTCCAAGGCCAGCTTGGACGGGGCTTGGAGCATCCTGGGCTGGTGGGAGGTGTCCCTGCCCATGGCAGGGGGTGGGATGGGATGATCCTTAATGTCCTTTCCAACCCAAAGCATCCTGGGATTCTGTGATTCCGTGATCTCCAGTGCCATGGCTCAGGCTCCACAGTCCCAGCTTGCTGGAGCTGGCAGCAGGCACGAGGATGTGTGGGATGGACTATCCCATCCCTCCTCCTCTGCTGCTGTGCATTCCAGCCCCTATCCCTCCCCGTTCCCAGGCCGCCGGGCGTTCATCGGGGTCGGCTTCACAGACCGAGGGGACGCCTTCGACTTCAACGTGGCCCTGCAGGACCATTTCAAGTGAGTCTGTGCCTTTCCCGGCTCCTCAGCTCCAGTTTTGGCATGTGTCCCCCAGGAATGTCTGAGAAGTGGGCAGGTGTGGTGGGAAGAGCTGGGAACTCCTGTATCCCTACCCTCTGTATCAGCCGTGTTCCAAACTGGGCTTCTGAGCCCCAAAGGGGGCAAATTCCCTGATTGATTTCCCTCCTTCACATGCCACCTATAAGGAGGTGCCCCTGAGGGACTAGGATGCTGCTCCAGCTGCTGGGAATGGTGGGGTTTGGGGAGGGATGGCTGGAGGATCCGTGGGAATTGTCCCTGACGTGCCCTGGCAGGTGAGGTCTCGGGTCATGTCCGAAGCCTTTAAGGAGCTGCTGCCGGGCCCAGGGGATGATCCTGAGCAGGATTTGTCTGGGGGAGCCTGGTGACGTCTCCTTTTCCATGGATTTAATTCCCGCAGGTGGGTGAGGCAGCAGAGCGAGCTGGCCCGGCAGGACCCAGATCAGGGACCCAAACTGGATCTGGGATTCAAGGAAGGACAAACCATCAAACTCAACATTGCTGTGAGGGGCTTTTCCAGCTAATTCCAACCTCGGGTGGCACAAGAAAGCAGCGGCTTCTCCCCAAAATCCTCATGCAGGAGGAATGCTGGAGCAGAGCCCATTGGGATAATGCTGCCTGCAGGGATTTGCAGGTGGTTGTGTTACAATTCCTGGTTCCAGAACCGGGTCTATGGGATTTTTGGGCAAAAAAACCCACCCTTGGTGTGACCCCTTTGGGTGCACCAGCAGTGGGATATCCCAGCACCGCAGGATTTTATCCCCAAAATAAACCTGCTTGGCTTTGTGGGATTTGCTCCCCAGCTCTGGCTTTGATTGTGATCCCACCCAAAATTCCCACTCTTCTTTCAGAACATGAAGAAAAAAGAAGGAGCCACAGGAAACACCAGACCACGTCCTGCAGGGCCCGGGGGCCTGACTTTGCTCCCACCACCTCCCGGGGGGAAATCCTGCGGAGAGCGCCCGCCCTCCCTGCCCGGCCCCGCCCGGCTGCCGGGAACGCCCATCACAGGTCTGGGCTCGGCAGAGCCGGCAGGCTCCATGGAATCCATCGGAGCTGGGGGAATGCGGGAACAAGGGCAGGAAATAAGCCCTGGTGTTTGTGTTCTCTCTGCCCACAGACTCGGTGCTGGCCTGGCCTCAGCCCTCTGCTCCCGCTCCTCCCGCTGCCGACGCCTGGGGAGACTTTGCCAAAGCTTCGGGGTGAGCCTCGAGGGGCTTTGGGTGGGAGGGGGTGCCCCAAATCCCGCTGGTTTTGCTGGAAAACCTGCTGGGGTGGGGGCACTGCTCCACCCAGTCCCAACTTCGGGATTCAAAAGCAGCTCTGCCAGAGCTCCAGGAGCGTTTGGACAACGCTCGCAGGGACAGGGTGGGATTTTGGGGTGTCCTGGGCAGGGCCAGGGGTTGGACTGGGTGATCCTTGGGGGCCCTTCCAGCTCAGGACATTCTGTGGTTCTGTGGGGTGCAGATTCCCCGAGTTCAAGTCCATGGGCACTTCGTGCTCCAGGATAATTCTGAGGTGATCCTGGAGGACCCATTTGCTGCCTGGATGCCCTTTCCGGGTCTAAATCCCCTTTTTTCCCTGGTTTTCCCTCTCTCCAGATCAACTCCTAACCAGACTCAGGGGAACACTGGCTGGGTCCAGTTCTGAGCCCACATGGGTACTGGGATCCTCGGGATTCCTTTGGGACCAAAGAAGCAGCTTCAGGACACCTCACTCCTGCCCTTAAATCCTGCCTGGCATCAAAATGCTGGAATAAGTGCTGGAAAGAACCAACCACGTGCCTTAAAACACTCCACACACCTGTGCCTGCTGCATCCAGGGTCTGTTATTGTCCCCCTGGATCACGGGAGACCTTCTCCCTTGGGAAAAACCATCCAGTTCTTCCCCTCTCCTCCGTAACAAGGGGGTGCTTGGGGTCTCCTCAGAGACTTTCTCCTTGGTTTTTTGGGCTGGATAAATCCTTCCCTGGGCAAAGGAGCATCCTCCTGGAGACATCCCACCTCCCAGCTCCGCACAACGCCTGCCAAGATGCCGAATATCACCTTGGTTTTCTTCCTGAGCACTTACCTGGGATGTTGGGAAGCTCCAGCCGTGGTGTTTCCATGCTGAAATTCCTCATTTCTTACTCTGGGAAGTTTGCTTTATTCCTGCTCTCCTTTGAAGACAGGATTTTTTACTTCTTTCCATGGACTTTTCGTTAGGGACAGAACGGTCTCTTGGACAGAGCTGGGGCTGAGACTCCTCCCTAAACAAAGAAATATTTTCTTACCTATTTATATGAAGCCTTTTCCACGTATGAAATCCCACTCGTTTTTTTATTCAGTGCCTTGGATTTTCCTTTTCCAACTGGCTGACGGGCATTTTGCTTTCAGAGCTTTTCCCTGGGCCTGGCAGCAAAGCCAGGTGAGACTGGGACGCCTCAGAGTGAACAATAAAACGCTTTGGATGCCACGGTGGAATCTTTTCCTCCCCCGGGGCGGCTCGGGGGGACTGGGATGGGCTTCTGTGATTCCCTCTCCTTGGCGGTGCCAAGGAAACGGGAATGGGAACACGGGAACGGGATTGGCCGGGGAAGCACAACAGAACCTGTTGCTTAGCAGTGGTTTGCGCTTGGGAAGGTCGCCGGGAAAGGGAGGTGAGGGAGGAAATTGGGGGAAAAGGAGGGTTTTTGGGACACAAGTTCCCCGGGGGTGGGTGGGGGGGAATTTGAGGCAGCTCCCTCTTGGCTGCAGGGATCCAAGGCAACGTAAATCCTCAATCCCATCTGCCTGGTCCCGGTAATCCGGAGGAGAAAGGGCACTTTCCCTGGAGGGGGGATGGGAGAGAGGGTGGGAGACCCCCTGGAAAGCAGAACGTGGCTTGGGATGGGATCCATCCCTTGTTTCGGGAGCAGGGATGTCTCCAGCCCCCACTGGGGGCGAGTTTTGGGCTCGGATCGGGGGAAAAAAATCCTGAATTACCCGGGAGGGGGAACGTTGCTGCTCCAGAGGCGGCGGCGCGGGGAATCCTCCCGAGTCCCGGCACATTCCCACATCCCGGGGGAGGGTTTAAAGCTGGATCATTCCGAGTCCCGGCACATTCCCACATCCCGGGGGAGGGTTTAAAGCCGCTTCACCCCTTGGCAACCCCGGCTCGCTCCTCCCCGGAGCTTTTCCTGCCGGAGCGAACCCCGGGGCGTTAATGAGCTTAATGAGCGCCGGGGCTTAACGAGGGGAGCGGCTGCCTCTTCCCAAGGAGCTCCGTTCCCTGCTGGAATTCCCATCCCGCCGCCGAGCCGGGACTTTCCCACCCGTTTTGCCCGCGGAAAGCGCCGGGGGGTTGGTATCTGTTTATATTTTCCTTCATTTTCCTCCTTCTCGCCGAGAGCCTCGGGGTGGGTTTATTTCCAAAGCCCGGGAATGCCGAGGGATATTTTTGGAGGAGGATCGTGGAATGTTGGTGTCGGAGACGTTGGGACCCCCCCAGGAAGAGGAGGGTCCCCGCTCCCGCCGTCACGCAGGGAGGGGACGGCGGGATTTCGGGCTAATCCCGACCTCGCATCCGCTTTCCACTCCCAGGAAAGGGGTGGAAACAGCCCAAAATCCCAGGAAAAGGGAGGTCGGGACAAAGAGGCCGCGCCGAGGGGGTGCCGAGGGCAACTGGGATGCTCCGGGCAGCCCGAGGCTGAGGTGGGGTCCCCGAGTCCCCCCTCGCGCAGCCGCGGAGCGGGAGAGCGGCATCGGGAATGGGAATGGGAATGGGAATGGGAATGGGAATGGCACCGAGAGTGGCGCCCGGGCATCGGGGTTGGGATAAAGGGGCCTTTTGTGCTGGGATTTGGGGTCGCGGCGGCGAATCGGGGCGGGTTTGGGGCTGCGAATACAAACGCGCGGCGGTTTTGGGGGTCACGACTGGAAATCCTGCGGCGGTTTTGGGATCAGGAAGTGCCAAAATCTGCAGCAGTTTGGGGATTGTAACCGGGAATCTGCGGCTCTGGGATAAGGAACTGCAAACCTGCGGCGGGTTTGGGATCACAAACGGGAACGCGCGGAGCTTGGGGGATCACAAATGCGAATTTTGGGGCAGTTTTGGGATTGCGGCTGTAAATCTGCAGCACTTTTGGGGTCACAAACACAAAGTTTCAGTGATTTTGTGATTGCAGCTGGAAGTCTGTTGAGGTTTTGGGATCAAAAATGCAAATTTTGTGGCAGTTTTGGGATTGCAGCTGTAAATCTGCAGCACTTTTGTGATGCCAGCTGCAAATCTACAGCGGCTTCGGGATCACAAACAGGGATTTTTAGTGATTTTGGGACCCCAACTGTAAATCTGCAGCAGTTTTGTGATTGTAGCTGGAAATCTGTAGTTTTTGGGATCATATTTGCAGGTTTGTGGCAGTTTTGTGATTGCAACTATAAAACTGCAGTGGTTTTGTGATAGGAAGTGCAAATCTGCGGCGGGTTTGGGATCACAAACAGGGATTTGTAGAGATTTTGGGGTCACAAATGCAAATTTTGTGGCAGTTTTGGGACTGCAGCTGTAAATCTGCAGCATTGCAACTGGAAATGAGCAGTTTTGGGGATCATAAGTGCAATTTTGTGACAGTTTTCTGATTGCAATTATAAATCTGCAACGGGTTTTGTGATTTTAACTCCAGATCTGCCGCGGTTTGGGGATCACAAACAGGAATTTGCAGTGTTTGGGGATCATAAATGCAGATTTCTGACAGTTTTGGGATTGCAACTCTAAATGTGCAGTGGTTTTGCTGTCTGAAACAGGAATTTGCAGTGGTTTGGGGATAATAAATGCAAGTTTGGGATGGTTTTATGATCGCAACTCTAAATCTGCAGCGCTTCTTGATAGGAACTGCAAATCTGCAGCGGGTTTGGGATCACAAATGGGAATTTTTAGTGATTTTGGGATCCCAGCTGTAAATCTGCAGCATTTCTGTGATCCCAGCTGCAAATCTGTGGAGTTTTTGGCATCATTAAGTGCAAATTGGTGAAAGTTTTGTGATTGCAGCTACAAATCTGCAGTGGTTTCATGATCACAGACGTGATTTCGCAGCAGTTTTCGTGATCATAAATGTAAATTTTATGGCAGTTTGGTGATTGCAACTATAAATCTGCAGCACTTCTGTGATCCCAGCTGCAGATCTTAGTGGGTCTGGGGCCACAGGCAGGATTTGCAGCGGTTTTGGGATCATAAGTGTGAATTTGTGGCACTTTGGTGGTCACAGCTGCAACTCTGGTGCAGTTTTGCCGTCACAGATGTGACCCTGCAGCAGTTTGGGGATCCCAAACACGTTTGCGGCTGTTTTGCCATCACAGCTGCCGAGCTGCAGCCCTTTTGTGATGGATTTGCAGCGGTTTTGTGGTCCCAAACACAAATTTTCAGTGGTTCTGTGAGCGCAGCTCCGAGTCTGCAGTGGCTTTGGGGGTCTGAGCGTGGGTCTGAGTGTGGCAACTGCGAGTTTTCAGAGGCTTTGAGACCACAGCTGTGCATTTCCAGCAGTCCTTCCATCCCAAAGGGCATCCCTCGGCACGGCCAAGTTGTGGGAGGGAGGCGTTTCCAGCCCGGGGGGGTCAAACTGCTCCCGGAACGCGTGGGGGAGGTGCAGCCCCTTCCCGAGGGAACGAGGCAGCTCCGGGAGCAAAGGGGGCCTTGGCTCCGTCCCGGGGCTGGATCCCATCCAGCCCCATCCCGCAGGGGCCATGTCCTCGCTGCTGTCCCTCCAGGAGGAGAACAGGATCCTGCAGCAGGAGCTGTCCCGGGTGGAGGATCTGCTGGCCCAGAGCCGGGCGGAGCGCGATGAGTTGGCCATCAAGTACAACGCCATCAGCGAGAGGGTGGGGCACCAAACCCCGCCCTTCTGACCCCAAACCTCACCTTTGTGACCCCAAACCTGCCTTTCTGACCCCAAACCCACCTTTGTAACCCCAAATTCGCCCTTCTGACCCCAAACCCGCCCTTCTAACCCCAAACCCGCCCTTCTAACCCCAAACCTGCCCTTTTAACCCCAAACCTCATCTTTCTAACTCCAAACCTCACCTTTCTAACCCCAAACCTACCCTTCTAATCCCAAACTTGCCTTTTTAACCCCAAACCCACCTTTTTAACCCAAACCTCACCTTTCTAACCCCAACCCCCCCCTTTTAACCCCAACCTCCCCTTTTAATCCCACTCCCACCTTTTTAACCTCAAAGCTACGTTTTTAACCCCAAACCCCCCTTTCTAACCCCAGACCCAGGGCTGTACAACCCCCACCCTCGGCATTCCCTGCTCCCGGGCTGCCGTTGTGGTGGGAATTGCGGTGCCGGCATGTCCGGACCCATCCTGGCTCGCCAGGGCTTGTCCCATGGGAAGCACAAAGCATCTCCCTCCTCCCTCCCGGTTTTGTTGGTGCTGCCACTTTTTGGGAAGCAGCTCCCCCACCGGTGCATTCGGTGCATTCCTTTGCCAAGGAAACCGGGAATTCAAAAGGGCTTTGGCCCTTCCAGTGCTGAGAGCGGCTCCTGGGAGACCCGAATTGAGGGGGGGTTGGAATTTTGGAAGAAATCCCTCTGTCTGGGCCTGGTTATGAACAGAACCCCAACATCAGGAAAATATCCCCTGGGAATTGTCCCTCCCACCCTCGATCCATTGGGCACAGGCCGGGACAGGGCTTTGCTGAGCCCCCACACAGAGAGTTGGGTTAGTTTGGAAAGCACCCCCAAAACTTCCCATCCCTCCCCTCCCTGGGCATGCAAAGAGGGTGGGAAGCTGGGATTTGGGGGGGAAGGTGGAATTTGGGTGGGAAGGTGGGATTTGTTGGGGGCTTGGCTGTGGCTCTCCAGGATTTGCTGCGGGACCCCCCGGCTTTTCTGGGATGTGGTGAGTGACGCCCGGGGGTGCCGGGGGGTGCCAGGGGGTGCCAGCCCGTATCCCACCCCTCTCCCAGCTGGAGCAATCCCTGCGCACGGAGGCGGGAGAGCGGGAAGCGGCCGAGAGCCGGAGCCTGGCCCAGCACAACATCGAGCTCCGGAGGCTCCTGGAGGAGGAACAAGCCGCCTACAAGCGGAAGCTCCAGGCCTACCAGGAGGGGCAGCAGAGACAGGCCCAGCTCGTGCAGAAGCTCCAGGCCAAGGTAAATCCTTCCCGGGGGGAGCAGGGACAGCCTGGGAGCCCCCCCGGTGTCAGGCCCCCTGTGTCACCCCCCCGGTGTCACCCCCCCGGTGTCACCCCCTGTCCCCCCGCAGGTGCTGCAGTACAAGAAGAAATGTGGGGAAGTGGAGCAGCAGCTGCTGGAGAAGGCGACAGAGCTGGAGCAGGAGAGGCTGACGGTGAGGGAGGGGCCCTGGGGGATGTCCTGTCCCAAACCCCCCCCAGATCGAGGTGGTGGTGAGCGGGATGTTCCCACAGATCCAGCTGGATGCCAGCGGCTCCCAGCCGGAGGAGGAGAGCAGCAACGAGCTGGAGAACGCCCTGATCCGGCTGGAAGAGGAGCAGCAGAGGTGAGCGGGATCCCTGGAGGGATGGGGGGATTCCCAGGAGGGGGATGCTCCAGACACGGTGACCCCCCATCCCAGGAGCAGCAAAGGTGAGTGGGATCCTCAGGAAGGTGTGGGGATTGCCAGGAGGGGGATCCCCTCCATTTCCTCCATCCCAGGAGAGTAGAAGTGAGTGGGATCCTTGGGGAGGTTTGGGGATTCCCAGAGGGATGCTCCGACCATTCCACCCATCCCAGGAGCAGCAGAGGTGAATGGGATCCTTGGGTAGGTTTGGGGATTCCCAGGAGGGGGATCCCCTCCATCCCAAGAGCAGCAGAGGTGAGTGGGGATCCTTGGGAGTTGGGGAGATTTCCAGGGGGATGCTCCGGCCATTCCACCCATCCCAGGAGCAGCAGAGGTGAGCAGGATCCCTGGGGAAAATGTGGGAGTTCCTGGGGGGACGTTCCATCCATCCATCCATCTCCTCCCTCCCCATCCCAGAAGCAGCAGAGTGGGGGTCCCTGGGGAGGTGTGGGCATTCCCAGTGGGATGCTCCATGCGTCCCTGTGTCTCCATCCCAGGAGCAGCAGCCTGGTGCAGGTGAACTCGATGCTGAGGGAGCAGCTGGAACAGGCCAACGCGGCCAACGCGGCACTGAGCGAGGACATCCGGAAGCTCACGGCAGACTGGGCACGGAGCAGGGATGAGCTGGAGCAGAGGGAGGCCGAGTGGAGGCGCGAGGAGGAGGTCCGGGGGCCCTGGAATGTGGGGGGAGGCAGGGATCCGTCAGGGAGGGCTGTGAGGCAGAGGGATGTGGCTTGGAAAGGGATGCGGGGTCACAGAGAGGGATGGAGGGTCTTGTGGGACGTTCCGTTTGGGAGCGCAGGGGATGTGGCACGTGATGGGAAAGGGATATAATGCAGGGATGTATCATGGAAAGGGATGCAGGACCACTGGGAGGGATGTGGGACCACGGGGGATGCGGTAAAGAAAATTTGGGAGTGCAGGGGAGGTGGCACGTGATGGGGAGGGAATATGAGTCAGAGGGAAGCATCGTGGAAAGTCTCCGGGACCACCAGAAGGGGTGCAGGGTCATGGGGGATGTTATATGGAGAAGAATTTGGAAGTGCAGGGGATGTGTCTTGTGATGAGAAGGGGATATAATGCAGGGATGCCTCATGGAAAGGGATGCAGGACCACCTGGAGGGATGTGGGATGTTGCACGGGGAAGAATTTTGGGGGTGCAGGGGATGTGGCTTATTGTAGGAACGGGGCTATAATGTGGGGATACCTCATGGAAAGGGGTGCAGGACCAGCAGGAGGGATGGGGGACCATGAGGGCTGTGACATGGGAGGGGATGCAGGAGCACCAGGAGGGGTACAGGACTATGGGGGATGTTGCATGGAGAAGGCTTTGGGGGTGCAGGGGATGTGGCTTTTGGTGGGAAAGGAATATGAGTCAGAAGGAAGCATCATACAAAGTCTCCAGGACCACCTGGAGACTCCTGCCCCAGGAGGGGTGCAGGGTCATGGGGGATGTTGCCTGGAGAAGAACTTGGGGATGTGACACGTGATGGGAAGGGGCTGTGAGGCAGGAGGATGCAGGGATGCACCATGGAAAACGATACAGGACCACTAGGAGGGATGTGGGGGCACGGGGAATGCTGCACAGAGAAGGATTTGGGGGTACAGGGGACACGATGGGGAGGGGATGCCAGGCAGAGGGATGTGTCCCCATCCCTCTCTGTGCCCGAGGGAATTGGGGCGGGGGAGCGGCGCAGCACCGCGGGGTGATGGGCGTGGCCAGGGGGGATATTTGGGAATTTGGGGAGCGTGGTGGGTCTCCGAGCGGGCACCGACCCCCCTCCACCCTCCCGCAGTCCTTCAACGCCTACTTCAGCACGGAGCACAGCCGGCTCCTGACCCTCTGGAGGCAGGTGGTGGCTCTGCGGCGGCACTTCGGGGACATGAAATCCAGCACCGAGAGGTCAGCGGGGGATCCCGGCCGGGGGGGCGATCCCTGGGGGTTCCCGAGGGCCTCCGGCTGCCCCCCCGCATCTCCCCCCGCAGGGACCTGTCGGAGCTGGGCCACGAGATGTCCCGGGCGGGCCGCGCCGCCCACGCCGCCTGCCTGGCCCTGGGGGCCAACCTGCGCCTGGCCGAGAGCCAGGCGGGAGCGGCGCGGGAGCGGCGGGAGCTGCGCCTGGCACAGCTGGAGGAGCAGCTGGCGGCGCGGGCACGGGATGCCGACCTGGAGAAATCCGCCCTGGGAGCCAAGTAGGGAGGGTCCGGGGGGGTTCGGGGGTGGCGGGGGCGGCTGCGGGGACCGCGGCGCTTCCCGGCGCTTCCCGGCGTGTGCCGCAGGCTGGAGGAGATGACGGCGGCGCTGGAGCGGCGGCGGGGCGAGGACGAGGAGAGGGAGCGGGCGGTGCAGGCGCTGACCCTGCAGCTGCGGGAGCTGGTGGGTGCGGCTCGGGGGCGCTGGGCGCGGGGGCTGAGCCGGGACCGGCCCCTGATGCCCGGGGGTGTTTCCAGGAGGCCGCGCGCGCCCGGGAGCCGCCGCCGGAGGAGGTGCAGGCGCTGCGCTCGGAGCTGGAGCTGCTCCGCCACACCCTGCACGACGTCACCCAGGTGCTGGGGACAGCCCGGCCCTGCCTCGGTTTCCCCTTTCCCACCTCAGTTTCCCTATCCCTTGACTCAGTTTCCCCCTTCCTTGACTCAGTTTCCCCCTTCCTTGACTCAGTTTCCCTCTTTCCTTGACTCAGTTTCTGCTTTCCTGTCTCAGTTTCCCCTTTCCCATCTCAGTTTTCCCATCCCTTGACTCTGCATCCCCCTTCCTCAGTTTCTGCTTTTCTTGACACAATTTCCCCTTTCCTTCACTCGTCTTCCCCTTCCTTCCCCACCTCAGTTTCCCCTTTCCCACCTCAGCTTCCCCATCCCATGACTCCATTTCCCCCTCTCTGCTTCAGTTTTTCCGTCCCTTGACTCAGTCCCCTTTTCCTGCCTCAGTTTTCCCTTTCACACCCGTTTCCCCTTCCCTTGATTCCATTTCCCTTATTTCAGTTTCCCCTTTCCCGCCTCAGTTTCCTCTTTCCTGCCTCTGTTTTCCCTTTCCCGCCTCAGTTTTCACTTTCCCACCTCTGTTTCCCCTTCCCTTGATTCCCTATCTCTTACCCTTTTCTCATTTCATTTCCCCCTTTCCCGCCTCG